GGAGGGAAGGAGGGAGGGAGGGGGAAGGGAGGGAGGGAGGGAGGAATAGTCCTGGGAGCTGGGACGGAAGGACTGCCAGCCACAGGGAGCACTGAGAAGACTCCTGCCTCCCAGGGGCAGTGAGGGGGTTGGAGCACTTTCAGAAACTGGGAGAGCCCTAAAGCTGATCACACCTCCAGCCTGAGCCCCAGCAACTCCACTCCAGGAGAAATGCGGGCCCAGGGGAGAGACAAGTACAAGAAGGTCCTGGGCCTCCTCGCTCACAGCAGCACTGTTATTTTCCAAAACGGAAAAACACCCAATAGAAGAATGGACGCCTTGTGTCCACTCACCCACGGAACACTTGACTGCAAGGAAAGGAGTTGGCTACTCTACAAGAAGGATCTCAACTGCAGTTTGCTCAGTGAACCCACCAGACACAGAAGAGCGCATACTCTCTGGTTGCATTATAGAAAGTTTAAAAGTAGACAGAACTTTAGGTTTGGAAATCCAGATAGTGCTTCCTGTCAGGGAGGTAGACAGCAATATCGGAAGACTCAGAAGATGCCCTGAGTAGTAGGCATATGGCTGTTTGCTTTGGAATAATAAATTGAGATGCGCTCATGAACCGAAGGAAAAAAATTCGAAATACTTTCAACTGGACAGGTGTGGGGCCACATGCCTATAATTCCAACCACTCAGGACACTGAGGCAGGAGGATGGCTAGTTCCAGGGCAGCCTGGGCAACTCTGTGTGACCCTGTCTCCAAATAAAATAAAAAGGGCTGAGGGTGCCAGGCACGGTGGAGCACGCCTGTAATCACAGCGGCTCGGGAGGCTGAGGTAGGAGGATTACAAGTTCAAGGCTAGCCTCAGCAACTTAGCAAGATCCTAAGCCCCTTAGCAAGACTCTGTCTCAAAACAAAAAAGTTAAAAGGGCCAAAAAGTAGCTCAGTGGTTAAGCACCCCTGGGTTCAATCCCTGGTACCAAAAAAGGGGGGTAGCTCTGTGGTACAGTCCCCAGTACCCCCCCACATACGTTTTTGTTTTCTTTTTTAATAATGTTGATACTCGTCTCTAGATTTTAAAAAAAATATTTATTCACTTGCGGATGAAAACATAGTATCTTTACTTATTTTTGCGTGGTGCTGAGGGTCGAACCCAGTGCCTCACCACATGCAAGGYGAGCGCTTTACCACTGAGCCCCAGCCCTAGCCCCACAAATTGTGTTTTAAAAGGCAGGAAGAGACTCTGTGCTTCCACCCAAGGCTGATATCAATTCTGTGGTGGGATGAGGGCCAGGGCTTAAGATCAACCCAGGCAGGTCAATCACCAAGTTCCCTAGAATGGGTTGGTAAAGAATGACAGGTCCATGTCCCCAACCTGGAGCCGGACTAAGCCTGCAACCTTCCAGTGGAGAGGAGCAGGAGGTCGCTCCGCCCCTGGACTCCATTTGGCCGCTCCCAAAGCAAGCAGGAGGACCGCCTCGGAGACCCCCCCCCAGCTGCGCCCCTGCTCCTCCCGCTCCCCTACTGGGTGCTKAACCCGTCCCACGCCCAGCTTCCTTTGGCTCCCAGCAGGGCATCTCCTGATGATCGTTTGATTAATTTGCAAAACTCTGACCAGGTTGGGACTGTAGGGTTTGAAGTAAGAATCTTCAAGATCAAGTAAATATGAAACTAGAGCAGGGGAAGGAACCTAGGAAAGGAGAAGTGGTTGCCTGGCACTCWGCACTGTCCTGGCAGGGAATCCCCGCTGGTGCGGTCCGGAGAGGTACCCCCTTCAGCACTTGCTCCGGTTTCCCTCCCCCGGGTTCACAGGGGTTCTGCCCACGGGCTCCTGCAGGCCAGCTGAGGCTGCCTGAACTCGCCCTTCCGGCCTTGGGTAGATGTGCCACCTCACCCCCACCCCCAATCAGATTCCTAAGTTGGGCATCCGTGAGAAGTGGGTAGGACCCTGGCACCTCACCCACCCACCACTCAGCTTCTCGGGCTTTCTTTGTCCCCAGACTTAGAAACCTCACAAAATGCTAAACAAAAGCCCCGCTGTGCAGGGCTCGAGGACAATAGCCAACTATTGTTGACAATCTTGACATTGAGATGGTTCCAGGCTGGCTTCCCACTCTCCGAGGTTTAAAAGTATATCAGTGCATATCTATCAACCGGGCAAGGACTGTGGTAAGGGAAATGAGACTTTCTCCTTATCCTTACGACTGGACAGCAAGTGGCCAGGGCTCCTGGCGTTTGGAAACCCCTGGAAATTAGCGTCTCCCTGGAATTCTAATCTCTTCTAAGGACCCCTCAGGACAAAGAGTGTCCCGCTTCCTCCCAGCATTCTGAAAATCCTTTTTAAGATAGAATGACTCGGGCTGGGGATGTGGCTCAAGCGGTAGCGTGCTCGCCTGGCATGTGTGCGGCCGGGGTTCGATCCTTAGCACCACATACCAACAAAGATGTTGTGTCCGCCGAGAACTAAAAAATAAATATTAAAAAATTCTCTCTCTCTCTCCTCTCTCACTCTCTCTTTAAAAAAAAAAAAAAAAAAAAAAGATAGAATGACTCAAATTCCAGGACAAGGGATGACGTGGAACCTGGGAAAGGTGGAAGTGACTTCCGCCAGACCTCCCCTGGGAAGGCCAGTCCCCGCCACCGCTAGGACCCAGTGGGGCCTCCCCCACTTGACCCTTCAACCCTCTTAAGACACAGGTTTCAGGATTCTAGTGGGAAATATTTGGATCCTGCTCTAAGAAGCCTGGGGCTGCTCAGCACTCCCCTGGTCTCCCAAGTCCCACAGTGACCAGGTAAGGCCCCTTTGGCGGGCCTGGCTGAGGGTTACTTACTTACCAGACAACTGCTGGGGACCCCCACATCCTCGGGCTTCCCAGGGCTCTCCTGCTCTGGAGGAACGTATCCACCGTTCCAAGCTCGGCCTGATCCCTTCCTCTCCACTCAGGGGTCACCCAGGTGCCAGAAAGCACAGGCAGGCTCTAGGCTTCTGAGCTCCCTCCCACCCTCTGTCACCTGCTGGGAGGTTAATTTCTCCCCCCCCCCCCAGCTCAAAGTTAAAAAAAAAGGCAGATCTGAAGGGTAGAGCAGAGGGACCCACTGAGCGACCTTAGCCTGGCTGAGTGGAAGGGGCGGGGGTGACAGGGCCTCAGCCTTGRTGAAGAAGGCAGTCCACGGGGCCATGGGGGGGGGTGGAACCCAGGGCCTCACAGGTGCTAGGCAAGCGACAGAGCATGGCCTCAGCCCCACTCATGTTCTCTGGCCCTGGCTTCCCAGAGACCCACCAGGGCCCTCCTGCAGAGGGAGCGGGGAGGGCGGCCATGTCCCTGAGCCCCAGCCCTGGTGAGTTTCGGGAGAATGAATGGAGAACCTCTGAATGGACCAGTCGAGGGGGAGGAAGTKCGAAGGAGGAAGGAAAGGCCACACTGCCTTGGGGCTCTGGAAGGCCCTCTCTAAGCTGCTGGGTTGAGAATGGTCTAGAAGGGGCAAAGGAAGGAGCAGGAAGAGCAGCGGTTCCAGAGGCAGGCGTCCCCCCACACCAGGCCCTTCCCAGGCCCTTCCCGCCTCCCAGCCTCACCTTGGCTCCCACCCCCTGCTCCTCCAGGCCCCTTGGAGGCTCGCTGGGCCGGCCTGCTCCAGGCCCCAGCACTGAGGTCATCACACGGCTGGAAGGCATCTTGTCAGATTTTAAAGATGATGAAGTGCCACAAAGCAGGCCACACAAGGGGCGGGAGGAGAGTCAGGAGATCCAGCCAGCCCCAGTCCCTTGGCTCCCCAGCTGGGGAGGACCCTGGCTGTCCACGCCATGTCAAGGGCTGAGCCGTGTCCCCCATGTTCACATGGAGGTCCTAACCCCTGGCACTTTAGAATGGGACTATAACTGGAGAACGGGTCTCTCAAGAGGGAACAGAGTCAGAGTGAAGTCACTGGGGTGGCCCTAACCCAATCGGGTTGGTGTCAGAGGGACGACCAAGTCAGGGCCCAGGGAGAAGACAGAGGCCATCTACAAGCCAGGGAGGCCTCTGCAGCTGACCCTGTTGACACGGATCCTGGACTCGAACTTCCAGAAGAGACAACAGGCTGGCACCCAGTCTGCGTTACTTTGCTACGGCAGCCCTAGCAAACTAATACACCCGTCAAATGCGGGCTTAGGACCCGATGGCTCCTAAAATCCCTTGCAAGGGAAAAAGAGTCTTGATTTTTTTTTTTTTTTTTTTTTTTTTTT